ATTGATCACCAAGCCATGCCTGAGTCTAGAACAAGGGCAGAGAGGAGGCACCTGGGGTGAGGGAGGGGAAGTAGCAGGGATAGAACAGGCCAGGGCCTGGGCTGTCTGGAAGGGGGAAGAAAGGGAGAGTGACGGAGAGGGGAGTGGCCCGGGGGACAGCCCTGGAGGCCAGAACAAGGACTGGACTCGTCGCACTGAGTCGTTGGAGGGTAAGCCAGCTAGAGCTGAGGTTTCACTCCAAAATCCCCTTGTGAAAGTTTATATGAGTTGAATAGATGTAAATGACGGCTATGTCCAAGTCTTTCGACATTCGTGAGTATGTGTGGCTATCAGAATATTGTTTTGGTTTGCTTTTGTTTCTGCTTTGAAATGGGCACTTAGTTTCTTTGAAAGTTGGGGTTGTTTGGACAACAAAAGGAGGTCAGTGTCCAGCCTGCTTGAATGAATTTCATCCTACTCAGCCAGCTGAGACTGGGCCCCTTAAGGATTTGGATGCTTCCATGGAGTTCTGATCTGGCAGGCAACGGAATCTTAGGAGCCAGTCAATTTGTATAAAAGACAAGAGAAAATACTCAAATAAGGTTCAAACCAGGGTCAGGGTAGGTCAGGCCTGACACGTGTTTTTTACTGAAATGCACTGACAAGGCAAGAGGTGACTGCAGGTGAGAGGAGGCTGTAACCCCTTCTTGCCCCACAAACCCATCATCAACCCGCACCTCTTCCAAATCATCTAAGTCGAAGCAGTGCGCCAGCTCAGCCAGCTCAGGCAGTGAAGCTTCCAACTTTCTTGCCCTTTGTTGTGCGCTGCATTGTGTCCCCCACAAAAACACAGATTTCAATACTAACTCCAGGTACCTGTCAATGTGCCCTTATTTGGAAATTGGGTCTTTGCAGATGTAAGTAGTTGATATGAGGTCATACTAGATTGCAGCAGGTCCTAAATTCAGTATGACTGGTAGTTCTTATAAAAAGAGTAGAAAATACATTGACACAGACACACTTATACAGAGAAGGCCATGTGGTGACCGAGGAAAAGACTGGAATGATGCAGCTCTAAGACAAGGAATGCCAACTGCCAGCAGCACAGGAGCCAAGAGAAAAGGGATGGAATGGATTCTCCTCTTCAGCCCTCAGGGAGCACTGCGCTCACGACACCTTCTTCATTTCAGACTTCCACCTCCAGAACTGTGGGATGACTAATTTCTGTTGTCTTAAGCCACCCGGTTTGTCGTAATTTGTTGTGGCAGCCCTAGGAAAGTAGTACACCCTTCCCGGAATGTGTTTGTCATACTTCAGTGCATTTACTCTCGCTGGTCCAAAGTCTACAGGGAATGCTCTTCTCCAGGTGTTTGCAGGGATCCACAGGAGAGGGGCTAATGAAGCTGGATGGGGAAAAATATTCAGGTGCTTAAATGTGTGTCTTAGACCTTCCCTGGTGGCTCTATCTAGAGTTGTCTGCCCCACTCCCAGTACTCTCAACTGAACAACAGCTTTTTTCACCGTAACATTTTCCTCTGTCTGAAGCCACTTCATTTCTTTCCTTCTTTACATTCCTCAGAATGTAAGCTCCTGAGAGCAGGACATGTAGCTATGATGTAGTTCCCAGCACACTGTAGGCACTCAAGAAATATTTGTTAAATGAGAAAGTTAGATGCTTGATAAATATTTGTTGAATGAATGAAAGGCAGATACCCTATTATCACCATCCTCCCTAAGCTTCTCCTTTATAGAAATTTAGGAAACAATTCTTTCAGAGGCCAAGGAAAACTAACTCTACATGAACATTTACAAGACCACATCCTAAAAGTTAGAAGAGCTCTTAGTGACTGAGTTTCACATGTCAAATTCATAATCTTGCATCCAGCACAGGGGGAGAAACCATCTCTGTGTTCAGACCAGAACAACAGCTGCAGTGGACGTCACCCGGGGAAATCCAACAGAGGGAGGCTCAGAAGCACTGAAGTTGAGTTCACTTGAGGGCAGAAATTAATTTAATTTTAAACAAATTTAGAAGACCAAGAAGGAAAAAAAAGTGAACTACATCACTACTCTGATGATCCATTCCCCAAGTTAAAAATATATTAAATAATGTAGAAGCCATGACAGCAGAATGCACTCAGGAAATGCAGTCATGAAAGAGCAAGGATGCAGGAAACCAGAATTGAGGGAGGCATGCCCTCACACCTCCACCACATACCAGAGCGGGCTCCTATGGGTGGGCATGAGCAATTTCCTTGATTCCTACTGGGGACACTCCAGAGTCATTCTACGTTCCAAGTTGGAGACTGCATCCCCTAGTTTGTTTCCAATATTGTAGAAAGGGACATCAATGGGATTACTCAGCCTCTTTTTATGGGTGTGGATGAGTGACCACCACCTAAACCCCTAAAGATCTGGTGGTATGAGACAATGGCACAAACTACTATTTGCCAGCCAGTATCCATTCTGCCCTTCCAATTGCATGAAGGGTGCATAACATTGCCTGCCTTGCAGTGAAGTGTGCCAGTGTGATTAACTGTTGGCCAGTGAGATGTAAGCAGAAGTGAGGCCTCTTAAAAGAATATGACTAAGTGAGGAAGAAGGATCTTTTGCCTTCTATCACTTCCCCAAGTCTAGTGATGCCATCTCAGATCATAAAGCGACCTTGAGACTGTAAGTCACTGCTAAGGATGGAGGAGCAGGAAGGAAGAAGCTTGAGGCCTCAGAGAGATCATAAAGCCACCACACCAATCCTGGAGTGCCTACCTTTGGACTTCTTGAATGTGAGAGAAATAAACTTCTATCTTCTTTAAGCCACTTACATTGGGGTTTTTCCTTTATAGTCCACCAAACTTGATGCTAGTCGGTTCAGAGATGGTCTTACACTTATTTTGAGACTAAATGGGCATCTGTGGGCTGATTTCTTCTTGGACCTTCCTGCTTCCTGTCCCTAAGATGGTGGCCTGAGAAGAAAAGTCAATTAAAGTTCATGCTGCTGATGTCCATGTTGTCCCCTCCCTCCTGGCAGTTAATCACTGTGAAGCCCCAAGTTTCACCAAAGAACTTGTGATGCCCCACCAGCATCCATGGGCAGAACACCTGGAGCAGTGGCTCCTACAGTACCGTCTCCAGACCTGCAGCAGTATTACCTGGGAACTTCTTAGAAATGCATATAATTAGGTCCTGCCTTAGACCTACAGGATCAGAAATTCTGGGAGTGGGTCCAGCAATCTATGTTTTAACAACCCAAGTGCTTCTGATGCACATTAAAGCACGAGAACAATGGGGTACCCCGGAGGAATTTCTCAGACTACCAGAAGCAAGGAGTAGCATCAGGGATCACTGGGGTTGAAGGCATTCTTTTAAGGGGTTTGGGAGAAAGGAGGGCTGGAAGAGTTGATTATTTGTGGTGAATCAACAGAGAAAACAGGATTTAATAAATGCTCATACAGACTATGTACTTTGATTATCTTCACAGTTGCCCAGAAACTCAGGTCAGTATGGAGTTCAAGGCTTTCAGTTTACTCTGGGCTTTTTCTCTCTGCTTCTTGAATGTGACCTCTCTCTAAGAATGAAACATACGAAATCTGGATTTATCAATGGTCACATCAGTAAGAACATGTTTCAAAACACTAGGGAAGTCTTCTGTGTTCACGGTCAGCATAGGATGACATATGAGATTAATTTTTGTCCTTTGAGGGTAGGTTCCATTTTGGAAGCAACTCAAGATGCCTGCTAAATTGGCCATTTGACACAGCCCTGTAATCTCCTTTAGGATTAAAAAAAAAAAGAGGTGGTCTTAGAGAGGAAAGACCAGAGGCAATCTCAGGAGTCAGAATCAGCCAGCCTCCCAGCTGAGTAACACCTGCCACTAGACATCAGGGTGCATTTGGCCAAGTGGCCTATCTGGCTGGCTGTAGGGCTCATATGCTAATAGGTTGGGATTCATCTATTCATTGACTTCTTCAGAGTGACCCACCTGATCACTGGAGGGAGCTGGTTCTGCAACTGTAGACCTCAAGATTACTATGGTGGACATCTATTATTTCAGGACTTCTTAATACTATTATTGTTTAGAAACTTTGGACTTATAAATTTAACCTCTGCAAGATAGAACCCAGGAAAGTTCATTCTAGCCTCCCTTGCAGACAGAACACAGATAATCCACTGGTCTAATGTGAGACTGATTAAGAAGTGGGCAACTTGAAGGAAGAAACTGTATGTGGAATCTGATTTGCTGGTGATAACAGCAGTAAATCTATCTGCTTTCAAAAATGGTAATTGTGAGGTTGGGTCCCTGGCACAGAAGGGACATCACTGGGCTGGCAGCACCAATGGCCAACAGCTTCATCAAATCTGTGGTATGGTATGGCTTGAGGCACCTATTCTGGTTTCTCCAGCCTCACAAGAATCCTATGAGCTGCCCAACATCTTTTTTCTAAACACTTTTCCTGATTTGTCAGTCCAAATTATCTTCTGTTGCTAGCAACTAAAAATTCTAATATAAAGAAAGGGCACCGGAGGTTGTGGCAATGAACAGAACCTCAAGGGAATGGGGGTTCCCCGGAACTGGTTATTTGGTTTGGCCGGAGCTGATGGCACCAAATATCCAGAACCGTTAGGGGAACAGGACTCTAGAAGCCAATGATACACCTATGGTTACCTACAAGGAAATACTCACTGTATGCAAGCTTTGTATCTGGTGGCCACTCTCATAAAACCAGATGAAGACCAGGAGGCATCAAAGACTGTGGATGAGTTGCTTCCATTTCTAGGAACCCAAAACATCCAGGAGGCCTTCATTCCAGTCAAGTTGTATGATCCTTGCAAGTCCTTTTTAGGCCAGGACTCTACTTTTCCAAGTCCATTCCAAGCTCATTCAGACCCATTTTCATAACTCTCCGTTGGAATCTAAAAGGCCACAGGATCCTATAGACTAGATTACTTTGGGTGTCAGATTTCCTCCCCTTCCACCTTCTCTCCTCCCTGCCCTCCACTTCTGTCAAGTTACATCCACCAGGAAAAATAATAAGACATTTATTGAGTCATCTACAGCAGTTTGACATCCTTAAAATCCCGAACAAGGTTGTGAACACAGTATTAACAGAGGCAGCGGTAGCAGTGAGGTCTGGGGGCTTATCTTTATCGAGGGACGTGAAACCCAGATGGGCCTAGCTCCACAAGTGAGTCTGGAGCCACATCTGGGATACTAGGGGCTGCCCCACTCCCACCCTCACAGGGGCAAAGCTACAGAAAACAGACCTAACACAAGACACAGATTGCTAAGCACGGATGCATCCCAGGACTTTGAGTTGAGGAAAAGGAGAGGGAATGGGCACACAGCCCACTTGAGGGGTATCTCAGATCCTTGAAGGATTCCCAAGGGGGTGACACGGAGACACTGATATCACCCACGTGGGAGTCTCCCCATCCAAACCCCAAGAACAAACTGAAGCAGTGATGGAGGATAACCTGGAATTTTGTGTCCATGAGAGCCCACCAGTCTTCCCCTGCCCCCAGTGCTGGTGGTTTTACAAATGGGGCAAAGGTTAACCCAGGAGGGGTCAAAGCAGTTGACAAACAGCAGGGGTCCCTTTCAGGGGTCACCACCCCACTATCCAGCGCACATGTGCATAGTGTGAAGCCCTTTCACACACAGGGCCTTTCCCTTCAACCTCATCCCTGGCCTGAGGGGCCGACAGCACACTGTGCCCTCCCACCTCTCAGATTAGGAAGCAGAGGCCCAGAGGGGTTCAGCCCTGGAGCACAGAATGTGTGGTGAAACCCAGGCTACAAGGCAGGTCTCCCCATGCCACGCTGACCCCACTGCTCCTCCAGCAGTCTGGAGTCCTAACTTCTGCAGCCAGAACCCCTCTCCTGCACAAGACTGAATGCATGAATGCTTCACTGAGGGTCTCTCTCTGGCTCACATGCAGGGATGGGCACATACTGGCAGGCCCATTTCCTTATTCAGGTTTGTAAAGCATACTGGATCCCAACATGGTGCAGGCAACCATGCTAAGCCAGCCTGGGTTTTCTTATCAGCCTTGTGGGGAGATCTGACCTGCAGATCTCCAAGTTTCCTCCCAGCTCTAGTGCTTTGTGCACCAGGTCTCCCCAGAGATACATGGGGGAGGAGTGAAGGCCAAACAGCAGGTCAGTGACAAAGCTGAGAGCAGCCTAGGCCCCCACTCCTTGCTCAAAGCTTCTCCCGTGGGCTTCCGTGGCCACTGGGCTCAAGTGAGAATTTAAGATGACAAAGCACTCACTGTTTTTACTCTGGAGCAGCCTTGAAGGGGTTAAGGGTACTCACAGAATTACACCGGAAGCCTCTTTTAGCTTTCCTTCCAGGAAGGGAAAGGGTCAGATGGAAGAGAGTCAGTGCCCTTGGTGGGGGATGATGGACTCGGACATATGTCCAGCTTTGGGGTCAGCTCCAGCTCCCTGGCCCCGGAGAAGCCAGCTTGGGGAAGGGGAGGGGTTAGAAAGGAATCGCTGCAGCCCACTAGGTGAGTTAAGGGTCATAGAGCTACCCACTGAGACAGAGAATGTGGCCTGGCCTTGGGCCCGGCAGGGAGTCGGAAAGCCACTGAACACCCCGCCAAAACACTCCCTCCAACCCAACAGGCTCCCCAACAGGCAGCGTCCCTGACTCGGAGTGCCATTTCCCCGGGGCTGGAACCTCTCTGGACAGTGCCTGCTCATGGCAGGACAGTGTGACAGGATGAGAGATCTCTCCATCCCAAGGAGAACTCGGCCTCCTGGGGTGAATCCATCCTTTAGGACTGCAGAGAACAACAGTCTCCTTCCTGGTAATGATCGTCCAGAGACATGGAGTTGCACTCTGCTCCCCTCCAACCTACCCATTCCCAAGGCCCTCAACGCTTCTTCATTAGACGTGATTCTTACCCTTCTCAATCCAGGCAAACACCACAACCCTTGCCTGTAGACCCATTCCCAGTAGATGGCTGGTGTTTAGACAAAGAATTCCAGAGATGCAATGGGCTGTGTAAATCACCTAGGCTTACTGCCCATTTTACAGATTTGAAAACAAAGAGTCAGAGAGGAAAGGGTTTTTTTTACCCAGACCTCTTGCTGTTCCCCTACTGCCCATGGCCCTCAAGGCCAGCTGCCTAGCCTCCTGGCACATCTTTTCCCAGGGCTGCAGTCGTTTGTCCGGAAAGAACCGACAGGAACCTGAAGCCTCCATGAGGACACAGGCCCAGAGCTCAGGCGATAGAATGGCACATGGGATTCAGACTGTGTCTTGGCCACTCTGTGGTGATAGATGTATGAAGTCAAAGCCTCGTCTTCCAGTGAAGCAGACCTACTGGTGGGGGCAGGGATGAAGAAATGGGGTCTGTACCCAGCAACTGCTCTAGGATCCAAGGGTGGCCACTACCCACCAGTCGTGGCATGCTGCCCCTGGCAGGGACATGGCTGAATTTGCACATAATATTCAAGGCACCTGTCCAGTTGTCCTGGGCCTGATCCTTCCTTCCCTCTGGCCCACCAGTTTCCAAGGTGGTGTCCAGATGGAAGAGACCAATGCTTCATTTCTAAGAAAGGCAAAATAAACAGCATTCCCCCTCCCTCCACACATACACAAACATAAACATCAAAACCTTAGGTGATACATGTAACAATGATGCATGCCCTTTACCTGACTTAGTTCTGAACTGTAGAATTACTGAAGTTAAGAGCCTGGAGAAGCTTTAGAAGTTGTCTCATCTCACAAATGGTAAAACTGAGGCTTAGGACAGATTTCTCTGTCCAGTCTCAGGCTTATGCCTAACTGGGGTAGGTTCTAGGTCTCTGAATCCCAGTCCATGGCTTCTTCTGAGCAGCTTAGGACCCCAGTGGTGTCCAAACTGCAAAGTGGCCAGTGGACTCCCATGTGGGTAATGCACATGGCTGTCAGATGGGGGGAGGTGGGGCACAAGGCCAGGTGCAGGAAGGGTCACTATATACCCATGACCAGCCGAGGTACCAAATGTGCCCAGGAAAGGGCAGGTGGCTCCCTTTCTCTCTCTGGATTTGCCAAAGACTGAGGTCTGTAGTGCTTCATAGGCAAAGGACACAGAGCTCATCTCTAAACCAAGCAACTAAACCCTTCTCCAGTCACTTCGAAGGCCTCTCCAGACAGATCTCCAAGGTCCCCAGGCCCCTTGTTATAAAATCAAGCTAAGCAACATTCCCCCTCCATCCAAACTCCCTGCATTCCAAAACATGATCATGAAACAAGTTTGCAAACACACTTGGACAGGAACACCACCAAAAGCTGACATGGAACAAAGTGGGTCCCACGCATGGGCCATGGCACTCTGGTACTTGCCTCCACCTTCCCCCAACCTGGTTCTGCCCTCATCTTAAATTCTTGGTCTGGGGAGCCAAGACAGGAGTTGGGGAGCAGCAGCTCCTCCCAACAGTTTCTGCTAACAGGCAGGTGGGCATGGCTTCCCCTCTCAGCGACCTGGCGATTCACTGCCAGGAGCACACAGTGGAGTCTCGCAGAGGTCTCACAGAGATTTCCGTAGCTGAGCCTAAGCCCGAGGAGCTGCTTCATCGCCCATGCAGGTGGGTGGTGAGGGGGAGAGCCCGGAGCCCTGGCTTTGGGCACATGGAGGTGTAAGGTGCTTCAGGGTCCACTGGCATCACAGGAAGGCGGCTGGTTCATCCTAGTCATGGCTTCGACTTCAGGGGAAACGGGGAGGGGCAGGGCTCAGCTGTATGTGGCAGGCACGGTTGAGGAGCAATTTCTCTGAGGAATCCATCTCTCGCCTCTGCAGCTAACGCAAGAGGGTCAGAAGGGAGGCTACCAGACGAATCCCTGCCCACTTTGAGTCAGGGGTAAAATAATGAAGATTGTGGAAGTCTTTTTCCATGGGGTCCCCCAAATTCTATCTCCTTTCCAATCATATCTACATTTCTAGCTCTTGGCAATTTTTCTTAAGCCAAATGAAAAGCACCAGAACTTCCTCTGACCCTTGGCCTCACACCCAAACTGAAGTCTTTGATTGGAAGAACCCTAGAGTTGTCCCATTGGCCTGGCACCCAAGAGCTGGGCACCTGGACACCAAGAAGTTGGGTGAGCATGAGAGAGCTTTGGGTCTGAAGGATGCTCTGGCCACCTGAGCTGGACCTCTGGTAGGCCTCGGGGACTGGAAAATGCCCTAGAATGGCAAGCAGATCCAAAGAGCCCTCACTGCAGGGAGCTGTCGGGCAGGCCACCCCAATCCCCCCAAAGCAAGATCATCAGCCTCAGCACACAAGGCCTCACACAGAGGGTCAGGTGGAGATGCGCCGGGGTGGAGCTGGGGACCGGCTTCTGCTAACAGGCAGGTGGGCATGGCTTCCCCTCTCAATATCCTAGGACACCCTGGCAACCTGGCGATTCACTGCTAGGAGGTAAGCAGGGACACTGGGCACAGGGGTAGGGATGAGATTTTCCAAATTCGAGGAGTATTTACATGTCTGGGATCGGGCCCTGAGGCCCATAGTGAGCAGGGTCAGAGCCAGACGGGGAGGGGAAATACCCACCTGTGCTCTGCATCCTTCCCCCACCTCAGGGAGCCCAGCTTCCAGCCCAGGGCTGCCTGAGGGGAGAAAAGAGGCACAGCATGCCTGGTTCGATGCCGCCTGCAGCCCCGCCTGTGTTTGGAGGAGAGGGGACAGGGGAGTGGGCTCAGGTGGCCAAGTTATCGGCAGGGAGGCCAGACATCCGGATCTGGGAGCTGCTCTTGCTCAGGATGGAGAGCTGGGTGCCCCCGTTCACCCCGCTGCTGGCCAGGGACGGGTGCCGGTGCTTGAAATCCACAGTGAAGTACCGGTTCACCTTCCAGCTCCGCCACTTACGCTTGACCTCCGCCTGCACCTGCAGGGAGCAACTTGAGTGGTCACTTCTGGGCGGACATCCTCTCCATGCTTATCCACCTGTCTGCCCTGCCCTGAGGCCCTGCCCAGGCTGGCACTGCCACCACCAGCAGCACCCGCCAACTCCCAAATTACAGCTTGCAGTCCCCAAGGTCACCAGTGGGAAAGGAATGCCTCTGAGGAGCTGACCTGGGTCTCTTCCCCAGGTCACTGTCTGAGCAAGGCCTGCCCTCTAAGGGCTTCTTGTGGTCTGTGGGCCTTTGCTCCTGGCCCTAAGTGTTCCACAGTCAGAGACTAGCACACAGGAATCTTTAAAATGCAGGCCCTCAGGGCAAACAGATCAGGGCAAGAGGCTTCACTCTTGCAGACCATGAACAGTGGGCTACACATTAGAAGACTGGACAGCTTTAAAAATCCAGATGCCCAGACCACACCCCACAACCATTACACTACAATCTCTGGGGTAAGACAGGCATGTTATAAAGCTTCTCAGTGGATGCCAGTACGCAATCAGGGCTGAGAATCACTAAAGGATGCACCCCTGTGGGTGCTGCTCCTGGTGCGGCACGTGTGGGCCAAGCCCAGTCTCAGCCTCCAAACGTCCCCAGCCCAGCACTAGTGTAGTGCAAAAACTGCACAGCCGGAAGTAGTAGTGGCACCCACCACTCCGGCTCAAGCTCCCACTTCACTGCACACCTTGCAAGCTCCTTCTCGGCTCTCCAGCCACTCCCTGCAGGGCCCTCTGCCTCTCTCCACAATCCTCATCTGACCCTTCAGCAGGCCATCTTGGCCTTCTCTGAGCCCAATATTCTCTTTTCAGATGCAAAAAGGGTAGGAGCATACTGCTGAGGTCCTGCAGCCAAGCCCCAAGCACTGTGCCATGACTCCGCCCACTCAGTCCCAGCACCTAGTTGGGGCTCTGCTCTAAAGCATCATCCTGACAGCTAGAGCAGAAGGTCCCAAGTCCACAGCTTTGGAAATACAGCTTTATAGAAGGTTCCAGCCTTTCCCAGGGTCTCTCCTAAGTTCCCACAGTCCCTACTCTGCAGGGGACAGGCTTGGGCTGGCAGGCTGGCCTGTGGGGGGCAGTGCCCCATTCAGCACCCCTGCCCATCACTCCCCATGAACTGGAGGCACTGTTCCCTGTGCCTTGTCCTTTATCACCTTCAGTCCTTCACTAAGGTGTGTTTTATTACAGTGAGAGTCCTCCCAGGCATGTCTGCGCACAGCAGTCGACGCCTTTCCCAGAGGAGCTCTGCTCCAGAGGCTGGGCTTTCGCTGCACAGCAGGCAAGGGCGGGGGAGATTCTGGCACAGGGTGGGAGGAGGCTGCCAGGAGACCCTGGCACCAGTGCCTCACCCTTCCTCTAGATGCCGGGAATACTGCCCTGGTCTAGGGAATCTGTGTGGCCAGCAGGCCGTGCCCCTGTCTCCTCCCCAGCAAACCCCACCTCCACTGCTATGAAGCCAGAGGGCCAGGGTCTTACCTCCCCATTCAGAAAACAGTAGAGAACAGCCACCACAAAGCCCTAGGGAGAGAGAGCAAAAATAACTTGAGAATGCTAGCAAAGGGCCTTCACGTGGTGTGTGTGGAAGGTGGCAGGAGTGGGGAGTGACACCAGGATGACCTGGATGGGGGCCCAGTGCCTGGGAATCTGGGGTGAGATGGGAGAAGTTCTGCTCCACCAAGATGGTGGCACCCACGGAGCCAAGCAGCTGCAGCCTTGATCTGGATCTCACCTTCCCTGGTCAAATGCTTCCCATTCCCAAGGGCCAGCTCTATCCCGCTTTCTACAGGAAGCCTTCCCTGAATATCTTCCAAATGTTCTCTGGGCTCCCCAAGCAGCCTGCAGGCTCCCCAAGGGAACACTCCTCCAGGACAGAACAGACCTGTGTTTTCTCCCCACCCCACCCCCACTCCCCCTCCCTCCAGCCAGATACTCAAGTGCACAGCACACACAAAACACCACCTAAGTGCTTGGCACAGAGCAGGCATTTAGCTGTTCTACATAGATTCCTTGCATGTATTCTTTGCACGTTGAACCCCTGCACTAAGACAGGAACCCTGGGCTCTGCCTCCCAGGCTGGGGCCTTGTTTATAAAACTTCTAGCTTCACCAGGCTAAAAAACTTAACAGGTAAAATGGCTTGAATTAGAATGGAAGGAGAGAAAGATTCAAGTCAGATACAGAGAGTAACTCTTCAACCATCATGGTCACCTATTCACTTAAATGGCTTAGTTAGGGAGAGGCACTCCAGCCTGGGGACACCCAGGGAGCCCCCTTCCTTCCCTGACCCCTCCGGCCCCCATGACTCACTTACTCACTATGCATTCTCTTGCCAACTCACTTGCTCCTTCACTTGTTTACCACCCCATCTGCTCATTCCTTCATGCACAGAGTCACTAGTCCATCCACTCATTCCCAGGACCGTTTATTTATACATCTGTTGGCTCACCCACCTTTTCAGCTCATCAGCTATCTGTGACCAGGTCCTGTGCTGGGAACCAACTTGGGTAGGACTGACCTCCAGCACTCCTGGTGTGCAGGGTCTACAGGCTCAAGTCAGGCTATAGTCACAGAGATCTCTTGAGGGCATCCTGCTAATACCCAGGGCTGATGCTGAGGGATGCAGGGCTGCCACCCAAGGCAGGCCTGGCTCAGCGACACCCAGACAGTGACAGAAGACATCAGTGTGTCGTCTCACAGGCGCCCAGGGGGTAGAGAGCAGAAAGGGCTCTTCCAGCTCCCTTCTATTCTCTTACTTCAGAAACGGAAACACAGAGGCCAAGTCTAGGTGAAAGAAGTTTCTGGAACCACCAGGGTCAGGGCCCTGACTCCCTATTCCATCCACTCATTCCCAGGACCGTTTATTTATACATCTGTTGGCTCACCCACCTTTTCAGCTCATCAGCTATCTGTGACCAGGTCCTGTGCTGGGAACCAACTTGGGTAGGACTGACCTCCAGCACTCCTGGTGTGCAGGGTCTACAGGCTCAAGTCAGGCTATAGTCACAGAGATCTCTTGAGGGCATCCTGCTAATACCCAGGGCTGATGCTGAGGGATGCAGGGCTGCCACCCAAGGCAGGCCTGGCTCAGCGACACCCAGACACAGTGACAGAAGACATCAGTGTGTCGTCTCACAGGCGCCCAGGGGGTAGAGAGCAGAAAGGGCTCTTCCAGCTCCCTTCTATTCTCTTACTTCAGAAACGGAAACACAGAGGCCAAGTCTAGGTGAAAGAAGTTTCTGGAACCACCAGGGTCAGGGCCCTGACTCCCTATGACTTGCACTCTCCATAAGTTTCATGCCTACCTGGAAGGAGCCCAGCCCCAGCTCAAACACGAGTCTCTCTCTCTTGCTGACGTTCTCTGGGGAGAAGGCGAATACCGTGTAGTGGATTCCAAATAGTGGGATGAGCAGCAGGGTGGACCGGGCTAGCCGTCTGTCAGAAGAGAGCAAGACAGTGCTCTGGGGGCTGCAGGGGCCCAGGGCCAGGGCCATGGGGGGGGCACCAGAGCTGGGGTCCCTGTCCACTGCCCCTAAGGATTCTCTCTGAACACATAGGAGCCTGGCAGAAATGGTGACTGACAGGGTCCAGGCTTCCAAAACCCCATGGAAGTTCTGGGGGCACACCCCGCAGTCTGCGGGGTAGCTGTCCCTCTCGGCCATGTCAGTATCCTGAAGAACCACTAAAAATGAACACGGAAGTATGTGATTTACAAATACATGTGGAGGGAAGTGCAAAATTCTTTGGAGAAGTGAAATCAGGGCAAATGCAGGGATGGTATTCAGAAGGCCTGAGCAACATGACAGGTCCCCAGCTGGAGCAAACGCCCTCCCGCTCTAGAAGGAAGTTCCAAGGGCCTGAAAGAGCAGTACCACGGGGCCATGGGGCAGCTGGCTTTTCTGAGTCTGGGGCTCCCCAGGGACACTCATGAAGGGAGGTGCTGACGACAAGGAGGCTGGGTGGGTGCGCCCCAGCAGGAGAGACGTTGGAGGGACCCTTGGAAGGACTAACTGACTCTGGGCATAAACATTCAACAACTGAGCCCTACCATCTGGGACAGTGGGTCAGGGACAAGACAGACAGGAGGAAGGGCCACAGGGGCCCCCATGCTGTCCGAGGCAGCTCCTCTGGGGCTCCGCTGTGACTGACCCCATGGCCCAGGGGGGTGGGCTCTGCTCTGGGCAGGCAGGGACACAGACGCCATGCGGGGACATCAAGAGCCTGCACAGCACCTGCACTCTTGGGTCCTGTTCTGTCGGGTAGGGTGCTCCCAGAGGGTCTCCGAGAGAGAGCCCATGCCCACCCACGCCAGCGCACTGGCTCCCTCTGGACCTCCCAGAAGAGCCAGCCCTGCTCTGAAGTGGGGGAGGGGGGCGCCGCAGCCACACCCTCTCCAGCAGAGTTGGCCCCACAGGGGTGGGCAGCTGGGCATGAGGGCAGCCGTTTGATTTGGGGCAGTTACACTGCATGCCCCTCCCTCTCCCCCATCACAGCCTTTCTGGGAGGATGCTCTGCTGAACATGGGAGCTCAGGAGGAGCCTAATTCATGGGGTCTGAGCGAAGCTCTTGCTCCCAGTTTCTACTGAGAAGGAAAGTGGGAGGGACGGGGTTGGAAGAAAGAGAAGCAGGAAGAAAACACAAAGGGGCCAGAGTAGCCTGGGGAGACCTTCGGGTGGACCAAGGCTCGCCCTGGAAGCAGGAAGTCCTGAGCTCTGAGTGCCCACCCATCCTCCCCGTGCTCCTAGGCAGCCTGTTCTGCTGGCATTGACTCTCCCAGCAGGCCCCCAATCTGAGCCCAGGTGCAGCCCTGGAGTGCTGTGTTCTCCTGCCCTTCCTCCCATGTCTGTCCTCTCTCAGACTAAGGCTCCTTGAAAGTGGGGATGGATCACTTGTCTCTGCTGTGCCAGCAAGTGCCAGGCACGGGACCACACTTGGGAAGTGCCTTCCCATGAAGGGATAAACAGACTACACGTTTGTTTAGTGGTCCCCATGTGACAGCCTCTGAGGCCTTAAACCTGACCACGACCTGGGAGTGCCTAGCACCAGAAGGCAGCAGGGTGTGTTGGTTGAAGAGCTGACAGTCCAAAGAAAGAGAAAAGTGGCCGGATTGCACACAGGTGGACTTACTGCGGCCCCTCCATGACCCTGCCTGAAGGGGTTGCTTTACCCAAGCAGCTTAATTGAAGGGGCTCAGGAAGGAGGGCAGCCCTGGGACCTGCCTGTGGTCCCTACCCTCCTTCCTCCCTGCCTCCACCTCTCCCACAGATGGGTCCATTTCCAGGGACTTGTTCCCAGTCTCAAAGTGCCTTGGAAGCCAGAAGGCCAAATCTCTTCAGAGCTCCAGGTGGCAGGTGTGGGACAGGTTCAGTGTGCGAGAAAAAGTGACCATTCAGGCTCCCAGAGCCTTCCCAGCCCCAGCAGATGTGGCGAACAGCAGCAGAGGCACCCACAGCGCAGTCTGAGGTCAATGCCTTCCCTCCCCTGAGGCCCTGCAATGGTTCGGTGGCAGCCCTGGACTGGCTGGGGACTTCTGCCAGGGACCCAAGGCATCCCAGTGATCCCTGTGGTAGACAGGGCAGTGGGGGCAGATGAGGAACTCCACTAGGGGCTCAGTGTTCCCTAGTTCCAGGTCCCCAGTACTTCAGAGCAAGACTGGAGGTCTTCAAATGGGGACATAGGTGTGGGCCCTGGCACCTTTCCTTGAGGATACACACAGAATTACCCTATGATCTGATTAACTCAGAGTGATAGTGACACAGGGCCTTGATCTCTGTCCTCCTGACCCACGGAGGCATCCATGGGCAGAGAGTCCTAAAAAAACACCAAAAAGAGCTCCCAACACTCAGAGCCGCCCAAATTAGTGGGTGTCCCCCTTTAAAGGGATGTCCAGATTGAGGCCGGCACTCCAGGCAGAGATGCCCTGGGCCTACTGCTCAGGGCTCTCTGGGTTCAAGTCCTCACCCTGCCAGTTATGAGCCCTTGAGTGAGTCACTTCTCCTCTCTGTGCTTCAGCTTTCTCATCTCTAACATGAAGATAACACAAGGACCCACCTCGTAGGGTTGTCGGGGGATAGTCCCTCGCACATGAATTGGGAGTGAGGTTCACTGGGATGAAGGTCCCATTCCATGCACAGGGACAGTCCATATGAACTCAAGTTCTGAGGCTCTTAGAAATCATCTGACAGTTGCAGACTGAAGCCCAGAGAAGTGGGGCATTGGGCAAAGACCACACCTCACCTCACCTCACGCAGCAGCCCAGAGGCTTCGGAGCTGCTTCCTCCTCAGCACTGGCCAAGCCCCAGTTGTTCCCACAATGGCCGCAGCTCCATCCCCGCAACCTCCCCTCCCACCCCATGGCCACAAGGCTGCAGAGAAGTCACAAGGCACACAGACGTGACATGCAACAGCTGGGAAAGGGCTCAGGGCTGGAGGCGCTGGCCTGCTCCCTGCTCTCCTCCAGCCCTGCGGGACGCAAGCTCCAGGCGGCAGCAGCATGCGTTTCCCCTCCAGGACACCCGGCTGCAGCCACGCCACGAACACTTACAGAGTAATGGTGGACAGTTCTGACATCTTGCAAGAGTGCTGCTGAGCCCGCTGTGGCTTGCAGTAACATTTCTGCACGCAGCTGCTGGTGTGACAAGATCAGCACTTCTGTCAGCTGGGGCATCAGGCAATGGAAAAACTGAGGTGGACTTAGAACACGGCCCAAGGGAGGGCAAAGGAGTGGAGGTGCAGAGACAAGGCCGGGGTGGTGAAATGGAGGAGAATAAGGAGGCTGAGGACCAGGGCATGGTCAGTTCTGACACAGAAATGCATGCCCTTCTGTGTACATGTGTGTGCATGGACACAAATGCACACATAGAACCTGCATGGGGACTAGGGCTGGAGGTTTAAAGGAAGTGTGTGTGTTCGGCAGGGCCTGGGCTGGGTGTCACACAGGGGGCCAGAAGCTGTCTCCACAGTCAGCTCCAGGCTCAGAGCATGGCTTTACCAGAGGTCACTCAGCAAGATAGGCAGCTAGAAACTCACATCATGGACCCTATGCTGCCTGCCCTGAGCAGACCACGCCTGGAATCGGGCCAGCTCAGGGCTTAGTTGTGAAGATGGACTTGAGAGTCCACTGGTCTGCCCCTCTATGCCTCCCACTCCTCTGCCAGCACCTTCCTCTCTCTGAGCCCCCAGTCACCTCAGTGTGAGCAGACGGGGGGAGCGGAGGTAGGATGATGGAACAGATTGTTAATCAGTCTAGACCTGCATTAGGCAATATGAGCACCACTATGCATCTGTGGCCATTTTTTAAATTAAAATGAAATCAGATGGAAAACCCACCTCCTCATTTCCCTAGCCACAATGCTCAGGCATTTCCATCACTGCTGAGAGTGGCATTACACAAGGCTGGGCTGGACATCTTGACAAAAGTTCAACATGCAACTGAAGGCTGAGAGGGGCACCTTTTGCGCACTGCCCCCTGCCTGCAGAAACAAGTCACCTCAAGGAGGCCTCCACAGGTGGGCCCAGGGGGCCGGTCTTGCTCTATGTCCCACCGGGTGAGCACAGAGTAGCCACCTCCCCAGGCAGGCCTCAGGCTGAATTCTGAATTCTAGCCCTTCAGGGTCCTGCTTATGCTTGGGTTGGCACAAGCTGTGGGCCCTTCCTTTCCTCCTGTGATAAACACGTAAGCGACAGATTAAGAGCTATGCCATCTCGTCACACTGCGAAAGAACTGTCTACTTCACAAATCCTCCTCAGGCATCATGTGGCTCTGAGTTCCTAGTACGTGAAACAGCCTGAGGGATCCACAGGGATCTGATGCAAATGAGAACACAGAGACACCAAGAGGCCAGACCTTTGGCATTCAAGGATTCGTAGTTTGTGATTTCAGCTCTTTGAGAGTAAGTCTGAAGGTCCTTGACATGTTGTGATGTGTCATTTTGCTGAGGCAAGAATTTGAATCACACACTTCAAAGAAGGGGCAAGCCAAGATCTGCCCAGCATCCTGGCCTCAGTCCAGCTTGGCTTCTCACGTCATATACAGCATCTTCTATTCACGCTGCACCGTGAGGGGGCACTATGGGCCCATTTTACATGTGAGATGTGAGCCGTGTCATGATGCTCTGCTATCCAGGATGGGGGACCAGACCAGCAGCACCACTACCAGAGAGCTTTCTAGAACTGCAGAGTCTCAGGTGCCATCCTGGACGTGCCAGCTCAGAATCTGCATTTTAACAAGATGCCTAGGGGGGTCCACATGCAAATCAAAGCTTGAGAAGCATTGTTGTGAGGAAGTCATGGATTTGAGAAGTTTCTTCATGTGTCCTCAGTGAATGTCAAAGGTCTGTTTTATATACATACAAAGAGGCAGATGGACACATAGAAGCATGGTTTTCTCAATAATTAAAGGAGTTTATTCAGGTCTTTAGGAACGGAAGCCATTCTGCTTTTCAAATTTATTCTCTACCTTGCCTAGATTGAAAGGTTACTATTCTCTCCTACAGCCAGTGGCCTGATCCCTTGACCTTGGTCCTCGGTCTGGGTGAACCGCAGAAATCTGTGAGCCTGAACCTCAGATGTCGCCTCCTGCATGCCAGGCTTAACCTTCACCCTGATTTCTAAAGTTTCAGTTGTTTCTCCTCTGAGATCTTTCCTCCTTGAGCTCCCAGACTATCCTTGCCCTTCCTGGACCCTGGAAACAGTAACTACAGACTCCTCTGATTTCTTCAAAGTCTGTTCAAGGACAGTTAGTGGTGAGTCAGCTGGGAAGTCAGACCCCTGGAACCAGTGTGTGCCTCTGATGGGAAGAGTGGAACAAAGCAGGGGACCTGACACCAGGCAGGTTCTCAGGAGAAGGATCTAGGGACAAAGGTAAGGGACCTTCTTCCCCCTAACCCTCAATGACTCTCTGAAAAGGGACCTATTGAAAAGAAACACAAGAGGGTAGCAGAAAAGCCAAAGATGGGTGTGAGAAAGAAAGATATCGTAATTTCTGAAAAGTCACTGCAATTAGTAAAAAAGGGAAAAGGAAGTAAATCGAGAGGAAGAGATGAACCTAGGCTGGTTGTTGAGTTCAGTTCTGATTTGGATCTAAGGGAGGACAAGAAACTAACACAAGGGTGCTGGGTGGGGCCTAATCAGAAGGCTGGAGACCCCCAGGGCAGGTACAGGGCCCACATCCCCCGCTGGCACCCAGGCCTGAGGGGCTGCAGCACAGTCAGCAATTTCCCAGTCTTGACACTCCCGTCTGTAACCCAGGGCTGCAGCACATGGTTTCTTTAGCCCCTGCACTGGTCCTGGGCCAAACTCCATGAGTGCTTAATGCCTTTCGTTTGCCTGAGCTGCAGCCCCAGGAAATTCCCAGCCGGATGTCAGACAGAGACCCCTGCGGGGGCGCCCTTTGTGGGCAGCACCCCCATCTATTTCACCTCGGTCCTGGTACAAGCACAGCGTTGGCCCCTCAGCAGGCCCACAGAATATCAGGGCCTAAGCCAAATGTCCTCCATGGGATCCCTCCTGATGCAAAGTGCCTCCTGAAAGCCTGGGCCCAGACCCCAGGGAAGCAGTCCCATGCTAGTACTCCCGCCGAAACCCAGCTCAGCAGATCTGGGGGGTTCCCCTTCCACCCCCACCACCTCCCTCACCACTGGCATGAGCAAGCCCTCTGTGCCCCCTGCCCAGTGTGGGGGTCAGGGCACCTGAACTCCAGGCTTTGTCTGGCCACTGACTTGCTGATCTAGGTGATGTCACTTTCCTTGTCTGGGTCTCAGTTTCTCCATCTGCAAAGTAGGGTAACCGTTCCCTGCTGCCAATCCCTAACAGGAGTTTTGAGGATGGGGTGCTCCTGGACAGGGGAGACTGTGCTCTGGAAGTAGCAGGTGGAGCCCCAGGTGAATGGGAAGCTGAAAGCTGTGGGCTGAGCTCCTGGACTGAAAGCTTCCTGGCTGCGCTTCTGCCTAGCCATGACCAAGCCTGTCCTCAGAAGTGAATGTTGTCTTTCCAACACCAGCTACTGAGCTGTCCACCACATCCATATCCATCCTCATCTCTTTCCTGTACCCCGAGGGCTGTGGAAACCCACTCTATACGGTCTCTGAAGGGGATACAGATGGGCTTTCCCTCCCCTACCCCAGATCCAGTGCCCACCTTGCAGTAGGAAGACCGCTGGGAAAGAAGTCAGCTCCCTGCAAGGCCATGCTCAAGATGCTCTCAGCCAATCCATGTCTGCCCTGAAACCTCACTCTCACCTTTATGAGCCAGTTAGCTTCTCACAGAGGTAGACTCTGATCCCCAGGGAAAAGCAGGCTAACCCTGACCCCAGCCTCGGGCCGAGCCCTAACCCCTACCCCAGGCCAAGTCAAGCCTGAGCACATGCAGGAGCCCTGACCCAGGCCCACACTCCATGCCTGGCCACTGCCCAAGTCCTCACCCCAGCCACTCACTCTACCCCAAGCAGCCAGTGAGAGTGTGCGTGCAGCTCAGTGCCCCTGCCCCCTGGAGGGATCCCAGACCCCAGCAATTCCTGAGGCTGGGTCGGGGGCTGAGTCGGGAGCGCCGTCTTGGTCTACGGAGGACAAACCCTTATCATCTGAGCAGCTGGAGCCAACCTACAGGAAAGGGAGTGAATGCTGGTCTGAGGGCACAGGCAGGGGGTCCTCTCGGGTTTTCTTGGGGACTCCCAGGCTTAAATTTGTTCTGGAAACAGAGGAAAAAATTGGAAAGCTGTTGTGGGCAGATCTGAAGGGGCCTCTCAGCCCAACACATAACTCGTGCTGCAAGGGGACTCAGGCACAGCCCTGCAATCTCCCTCAACCACCATGTCCTGCTGCTTCCAGTCCCCTGCTGGTCTGCCCTCCCCCAAAGCATAAACCCACCACCTCAAAGCACTTTACACCATTTTATATACGGCTGGAAGCCACTGGGGCCGCTCCTTCCAGGGAGCCTGGTTTGTATCCTTCTTAACAGTACCCTCTTGCCTGTACATTCCCTGAGGACAGGAATGATGGTGGGTCAAGGGCCTGCCTGCTTGCAGGTACAGTCCACTCTTTCCTACTGGATTCCTTTTCACTTCCCTGATAACTAGTTCCTGCAGCTGTAAAATGGGTGCTATATTTAGTAGCTGGTTACATGTCCCACCAGGCTCTCTGGGTGCCGGGACCCAGGTGGTCTGAATCTAGAGGCAGAGGGGAATGGTGGAGGGTGGTCACTCCCTTGGCTCTCTCCACTTCTCCCACCCAAACAGGTCACTTCCCAGCCCTTCTTCTTCTGGGGGTGGCAGCTGTTTTCCACCAGCCGGCTCGGTGGTGCCCTACCCTGTGTGCTGCACCCCATCTGCCAGCAAGGTCGGTGGGGGTGCCCACACACCTCCTGCCCCTGACCTCACCACGCAGTCTGGCCTCTGTGCGCATCTGGCCCCTCCAGCCAACCACAGGGGACCAACCTTCCTCCCCAGCATAAGAAGTGTGCACCCCCCTACATACCCAGCTGGTCATGCTCCTGATCACAAGACAAGAAGGGTGAGATGGAAGGTGCATGGTTTGATTCAGAATGGGTCAAACCCATTTTTGGGTTTGGGTGAGGCTAGGTGAGGGATGGGACACAACAAGCCAGGGACAAGCGGGGTGACTGAAAAACACTGCAGGAAACGAACCAAATGGCCGTGGAAGTGGAGAAAACCCTTCACTCAATGGTCAGAGATTGCCGGGGAACCCCATCAATTCCAAACATAGCAGAGGTTCCTCTGCTCAGGAAGGGAGAGTTGTAGGAGGATCAGACCCAGAAGCAGAGCTGTCCCAAGGGAAGGTGGGGAAGAGAAAGGCCCTCCCTTCCAACGCCCAGACCACTGGGGATGTCCACCTGCCTCACACGTGGTGCTGAGTGACTCGCACACACTGGGACAAGGGTAGGGGTGTCAGGCACCAGTGTGTCCAGTGACATTCACGAGCCTCCCACAGAGACAGCTTCCACAAAGGAAATCTGACTTCTAAACGACTGAGAATGTAACTACTCTAGGAAATCTGGTGTTTTCCATCTTAATTTTCCTAATGTGACATAGGATCCATCCTTTCCTTTCTCTTTCTCTTTTCCCTTGCATGTAATTCCTTGCAGATTACAAGCACCTGGGCTGGCTAAAAGACATATGGGCAACTGTATTTTAAAGATACTTTAATCAGAAAGAAATCTTGCAATTTCTTGCGAATGTCCGTGGTAGGTTACCCTGTCCGCACAGCCCTGCCCTTCTCCTCCTATGACTTGAGAACAGGGCCCCCATGGCTGTCAGAAGTGCCTACAGCATTCACACAATGGTACTCACAAGTAGATGCTGGACTCATTGCCTCCCATGTCTGGAGACTGGAGTTTCTGCACAAGGATGACAATGATACCGATGAAGAGCACAAAGTTAACCTGAGGAGCAGAGACAAAGCGGGTGGAAATGATCACTCTGGGAAAAGGCCTCCTATACCCCTGCCTCTGCACAGGCTGTTAGTCCCTCAGCAGGGCCCTCCTCCACCCAGCCAAGACCCCATCTAGACATATAATCCAAGATGGCAGCATGTAAACACCTGTTTATTTTCCCAGCCACCCACAATATCATTGAGATGACAGAAGAGACAGAAGAAAAATAATTCCATAGGAGTACTGAGAAATAGGAATGATTATCGTGAGCCAGAAAATAGGGCAGTTCTGGAAGAGGAGCAAAGTAAGATCAGGGTGATGGAAAAGCTTCAATGCCAAACAGATAAAGAAGCTTTAGCAGAGGTGAGAGCTGTCCTCTGGAGAAACTCCAAGTTCAGAGTCACTGAATATGGGAATGAGAATGGACAACATTATCAATTAAAGGACTGCCTGAGAATAACAATCACAGAATTTGCCTTTAGATGAAGACCAGGGACAAAAGCTCTCTAAACAAGTGGGAAGCTCTGTGTACGGTGAGACGGGGAGGGCAGGGAAGCAAATAAATAGAAATAAGGCATAATGAGAGGACTACACAGCAAAACCTCCCAGATGCAGCTGAAGCAGCCCTCAGAGAAAAACATGTACAGCCAATACTAACTTATTAAAAAATAATAAATACTGAAAATAAAATAATTGAGCATTTAAATCAAAAGCTAGGGAAAGAATGCCACAAATTCAGCTTATACAAGGAAGAAATTAATAAAGATAAAAATTCATTATAAAGAGTTAGTTAAAATAAAGCAGACTTAATCAATGAAAACAGATTTTATTTTTTGGTTTTGCTTTGTTTATTTGTTGTCGCACAGATCAATAAGAATGACAAAGCATGTTGTATGAGGACAGAGTTCTGTCAGTGTTCTTTGCATTACAGGCCCGGTGTCTGATCAGTCCCTGAATTTAGCACAGTAAATACTGCTAACTGCATGTTAAGTCAATCCAAAAGAAGAAAATGCAACTGAGCAAATTTAAGGATGAGAAAGAAGACAACAGATGTATAGACTATTGTAAATCATAAGAGAAAATCAAACATAATGGGAAAATACAAATTCACAAATTCACATTGAGAAAACGTAGAAAATCCAAACAGAGCAATGACCTCAGGAGAAACTAAAAAGTAATTAGATGCATACGCAATTAAAAGGCAATAGGCCCAGATAATTTTACAGCCCAGTTTCATAATTCCTTTAAAGAAGGTGTAATTTACATACTAACTCATCATTTAAAAGGAAATAAAGAGAAAACCCCCCAAATTACTTATGAGGTTAACACAACCCTGTGACAAAATCCAGACAAGGACAGAAAGCACACTCACAAATACACACACACACACACACACACATACACATACACACACCCCTAAAACCAGAAGACTGACAAAGGGCAGTGCAAAAAACTGTCAATAAAATATTAACAAAGAGAATTTAGCAGTGTATTAAAAGAACAAACAAATCAAACAAATCAAACAGACCATGGCCATAAAGTTTCCATACCAGGAAGGCAAAAAAAAATCTCATATTTGGACATTAACAGATAAAAACAATAAGCTAACATTATCCCCCATAAGATGGGTGAGTAATTCAGCATTCAGAACATCAACAGAGACACAAGAAATGAGCACTCTTTTTCTCCGCTCATGGTGAACATTTTAGTATCTCTGAAAATGTTAAATGTACACGCCATTTGTCCCAGAAATTCCACTCCTAGAAAGACATAGTCACATATACTCAGATATGCACAAATATATCCAGTGTATCATTGCTCATAATGAAGACAAATTAGAATATTATAAACATCCATCACCAAGAGAATGATCGCTTCAATAATTCTCTCTGAAACATATTTGGTAAAATTTGACACCTATTTCTGATTTTTAAAAAATACACACTTAAACAATCAAGGAATAGTCTCTTTCTTAATTCAGTGATGGGTAACTGCCCAAAACTAGAGTACATGTCATTCATTGTAAGCAAAACCAAGGAATAAATGGTATGAATACTGGAAAGGAAAAGTAAAAAGTATTTCACTTGCAGATTATGTAATAATTTTCTACCTAGAAAATACACAAGAACCAACTGAAAAGGGGTAAGAACTAATAAGAGAGTTTAGGAACTAGCCAAGAAAAAGAAAAAAATACATAAAAACACACAACACCCCCACCCACCAACAGTAATCCACTAGAAAATATAATTAAAGAATGATTCTTAGACACAATACAAACACAAACTGGAAATACCTTCAAAGTAAATTTAACAAGACAACTAAGAAACTGTAGAAAATGACTCCATGAGAATAATGGAGAATCAGGCCGTGTTCTTGGAGTGGGAGACCCAATATTTTAAGATAAATCACTTCTGCTCCAAATTAGCTTCTAAATGCATTGCAATTCCTATAAAAATCTCAACCAGATTTCTTTTTTCAGCTTGAAAGCAGTATTTGAAAAGTACATGTGCAAGAAAATTTTAAGGAGTAAAAAAAAGTTGTTTTAGAAAAAGCATGCTACCAGGTTACAGTAACCGGCAGGTGAGGTATTATTAGTAACAGAGAATAGTACCATTAGTAACATAGAATAGAAAGTCTGGAACTAAACACAAGCAGAGCACATTGAGTGTTTGTGATGAAGTGGCATTTCAACATAATGGAGAAAGGACGGTCTAGTCAACAAAAGAATTGAAAAGGTGGAAAATCTATCCTTTAAAAAACAGCTAGATAAGATTAGATATCATTTCCTATCAGACAAAGAAATAAAATTTCAGCTATATTAAAGACATACATGTATAATCCAATCCCTAAAATGTTACAAAAGAATTAAGAATATTTTTATATCTTAGGTTGGGAAAGACTTCCATAAACAAGAAATAAAGCTCAGAATTCATGAAGAGAAAGCTTGATGGTTTGACTGTATAAAATTATGCATTCTTAGAACACTTACAACACATATGACAGATGAAGTCTTAGTATCTTTCAAACAGTAAGAAAGAGAACTGAGCAAAATGAGCAAAAGAAATAAATAGGTTATTAACTGTAATAAAAACAAATCATCAATAAATGTTTCAAAAATGCTCTGCTTCAATTAGCAATATGGAGAAATGCAATGAGCTACCGTTATCTGCCATAAGACTGTGCAAAAATTCAAATGATTGATACTAGAAGTATAGACAGTGATAAGGGGAAATACTTTTGACCCAGCAACTCCACTTCTAGGGATTAATCCTAAAGAAATATTCACACATGCTCAAAATTATTCACAGAACTGTTCCTAGCAGCATCTTCCATGAGTAAAATGGGATAATAAAAATGTTCAACACTAATGGAATAGCTAAGTGATTTTTGTGCCAAGCTTACAGAACATAATACAGTCATGAAAAAGGAGGTTTGCTTATGGGACCTCCTTATCTTCCTTCTCTCTTCCTTTATGCTCAGGCCCCGGCTCATCCCCCCTCCTTGCCAAAAGAACACTCACCATGATGGAGCCAACCACAGGGCCTTTGATCACCCACCACAGAGCCGTGCTGTCATTCATATCCCAGCAGCTGAAAGATAAAGAGAAGAAAGATTAAGCTCAGGGCTGGGGCCTGGTCGGCTCTGTGTGTGACTCTTCTTCCCCTACAGCTCTGAAGAGGGGCTGGCTGGAAGGAGGGCTCTCAGGTGGGCTGCAGACCCCAGCCCAGCCCCGGTTCTTCGAACGCCTTGATCCCTCCCTCTGCTTCCCTGCCAAGGCAGGGATTGGAGCCCAACAATCAGGATCACCAATGGGCTCCTGGGCAGGAGCCATGCTCCCCTCCACACCTAGGACTTTGGGAGATGCCCCCTAACTCTCAACATTCTCCCTCCCCTCCCTAAGAGGAAAACAGACACTCAGAGCGGGGCCCAGAAACACAGTGGGGCTCTGAAATCTTGCACATTCTCTGTGCTGAAATGTGGCCACTGTCATTTTAAGCAAAACCAAGGAATAAATGGCACGAATACTGGAAAGGAAAACCCTGGGTCCACCACGGTGAGGTCAGGGTGCAGTCAGTGCCCAGGGCTGGGGGTGCAGTCCGGGCCTGTATTGGCTGGTTTGTCTGGGACCATTAACGTGAAGTCAGGGCAGCCACCAAGACACCATCTGTAAGAACCTACCAGAGCCCTCAAGGGCATACTCACCCTGTGTCATCGAGGTAGAGCCTCAGCACAGCCCACACTGACACACACACAGTGGGGGTCCCTGGAAGAGCAAGAAAAGGGGCCCCATGATAACAGGAAAACCAGCAGGCCCAGGATCCCCTCAGACTGGGGACTCCTGGAGGCCAGTTTCCCCTCACATGTGGGGTTCTGACCCTGGGGCATCTCCCTCTCAGACACGGAGGCCTGGGGACCCTAACTGTCCCTCACACCCAGGCCTCCTGGCAGTCCATGTCTCCACCAGACACTGAGCCATCTCTCTCAGAAGGACCACTGAGCATATCCCCTCCCAGGTCGGTGGCCTCTACGGGCAGGAAGCGCATGAAAGCATCCAAGGACCCAGAGTGTGCCATCCGCTGTGGGCAGGGCAGCACCTGCCTCCTCTGCCAGACACTCCGACGGTGAGACCAAGGACATAGCCAGGCCATGAGGCTCAGCCTGTCCGGGCCACAGCCAGTGACCTACCCCAGCCAATGATGGTGTACCAGTAGAAGTATCTCCTCTCAGGGAAGAAGGTCTCCACCAATAGGGTGAAGAGGTACAGGCCCTCAATGAACAGCCAGAAGTAGTTGGACACAACGCAGTAATGGAAGAAAACCATCACGGCCTTGCATTCCACCTGCAGGAAAAGCAGCAAAGGCTGGGGAGGCATGAGCCCCTCCCACCCCTGCTGGTCCCACCAAGCCCAGAAAATCCAACCCAGCTGGACCAGGGGCAATTTCAGAGCCCTTTAGCTCTGGCATGCTTGGGTTTAAAACATCCCAGGGGTCTGAAAGACTCAACATTCCTGGATTTGAAGAGCTTAGAGTTGCAGCATCTTATGAGTCTGGTTAGAAGCTTCCCAAGGAGGCAACTCCGCACATGTCAGAAAACAGTGGGGTCAAGGGCACAGAGCCCCTCCCATCTCCAGACTCATTCTCCCTCACTTTCCTGCCCCTTCCCCAGTTCTCACAGGGGAGGTGGGTAAGGAGGAACATGCAGGAGGCTCCTTGGTAAAATGAAGGCTTTAGACATCATACAGGTGAGGGGGATACTTCTGGCCCCCCAGAAATCTCAGAGACCACCCCCTTCCAAGTGGACCCTCCCATGTCAAGGCCCTGCGCTCTGGGCTGTTCTTTCACTCTAGCCCATCAAAGCTTGTCTTCCCTACTTACCTCCAAACATATAAGACCTGCCCCGGTGGTACTCCAGTGAGAACCCCAGCCAATCAACCTTCTGACTCCCTCATATGCTAATTAAATGACCAGGGGTCAGGTGAGCCCTCTACCTAACCTGAGCCTGCTATCTTCCTCAATCAAGTGGGACTTGGCGTTTCCACCCTACCTTCCTCAACTACTCCGCCAAGTACACACACAGGCTGCAGGTCAGGTGGCAATGATACGCAAGGGTCTCACTGGCTACTGGGGACCTAGTGGTCATTCCTGGATACCACTGTTTGCTGAGTACGGTGCCTTAACCTGCAGGAAACACCAGGTGGCTGGGTGTCGCAGGGAAGGGAGTCTTGGATGTGCAGGACCCTTCCTGACTGGCTCAGCTCACTCACAGTGGAGATGAAGCAGTGGTTGCTGTCCTGCTCCGCGTAGAGGATCCAGTCTTTGATGAAGACGGAGATGGCCCTCAGCATGAACGACACGAACAGGTTCATGTGGATGAAGTTGCGGGTGCAATGCAGCTTCCTACACGGTGCCGAGAGGAAGGGGTCTTTGGCACGGAACCCACAGCACCCAGTCTCCCCTCCGGGGTCTGCTCTGGGCCAGCTCCACCACTCTGTCGCAGCGGGGTTCCCACCTCAACCATCTCCTTATGTCCTCCTCATTTCTAAGCCCCTGTTGCCTGGCCTCACAACTCCAAGGGGCCAGACTTCTCCCTCCTGTGACTTCTCTACATCTAGACCCGGAAGACAACAGTGAGGACTACACATCCCTGCCCCGGGTCTGCCCAGCTGAGTGGCCCTGGACAAGTCAGTTGCCCTCTCTGAGGTCAAGTTTCCCATCTGTCATCCTCAGGGTGGGGCAAATGCCTCCCAAGAGAGCCCCATGGCTGGCGTCCAGGGAAAGGAGTGGGGTGGGAGGGGCGGAGCAAGGGCTCTGAGCTGGGGTCTCACCGGAAGCGACACAGGATGACCATGGCAGTGGTGAGGGTGACGAGGGACGTGCTGTAGCCAACCGTGTACAGGGCCTTCACTGACAGGTAGTAATAATCCTGGAGCAGGCACAGGACATGCAGAGCTCCACTTGGGGCCTGCCGCAGCCCACCTCGGAGCTGTGCCCAGTCTCCCAAGCCAGGCCCACCGCCCAGCTCCCCCTTCCTTTCGTCTTCCCTTGCTGATCTCACCTCTGCTACTCCATCATCAGGGCCTCCACCACCTGATCCCCCCCGGATTCCCATCCCCCGCTGAGCCGCTTACTTCCCTCTGCACAGTGTCTACACTTTGCAGATGCTCAATGCGTGCTGGCTGCATGCAGCAGCCTGACCAATCAGAACAGGCACCAGCCTTAGCTGGAGCAGGACCAGGAGGCCCCCTGCTGAGCCCAGCATTAACCCTTCCATTGCCGGAAGAATAGCCAGGGAGGAGGAGGACCTGTGGCAGAGCTGCAGGAGCTCAAGGAGCAGACCAGCTGCTTCTCAACCCAGAATACATGAATGGAAGTCTTGTCCTCCCTGCATCTGGCTTGGGTATACAGCAGGTGTTCACGTGCTGCCTAGGACCTGAGCTTCCTATGGTCCCATCAAGAATCAAGGCCCCTGGTGGGAACTCCATTCCACCCGCCTCCTCAGCCCCACCCTACCACCTCCAGGTGTGGGGCAGACACTCACCTGGTCCCCGGTCTCAGATTCATACTCATCAAACCCACAAGCATCAAAGTAATGAGGGAACGGCTCTGACCATCCATCCTCCGTGCAGTTCCGGCTCACCACCCTCATGTCTGCAGCAGAACAAAACTCAGTGAGGCACAAAAGTGATTTAAAAGGGCCCTGGTATTCTTACTAAAAAATTACTTTCTAAGTGGGAATTCCTGGAAATTCATATGCCCATCTGGGAAGCACAGTGACTGATGGTGCATGCAATCATCCCCTGGGGAGAAGGCAATTAGAGAAAAGAGCGATTGCTGATGACCTGAGGCACAGCCTTTACACAAAGGGCATGGGTAAGGGACTGGGGACCAGCAGCAGCTGATCTCTTAATACAGGTGAGGAGACCAAGCAGGTGAGAATACCTCCTCCCTCGCCTCTGGAACTGGCAGAACCTCGCCAGGGACACCACTGAGCCCCTCCCCTAGACCCTAGGTCATCACTTGTCAAACTTCAGTGAGCAGAATGGCCTAGAACTACAAATGCAGATTCCCAGCCCAACCTTCCCCACCTCCCCCAGGAGATTCCGGTCAGGATTCACAGGTGACTGTGGAGCAGGAGCTCCCATCACACCTGCAAAAACAGCTCTAGGTGATGTTTTCCCTGGGAGGGCTGGGCCTTCCGGCAGCTGCAGTATTCCTTACCAACTGGACACACAGCTTGCTTAATCAACAAGGACCAGACCACCCTTAACCTAGCACCAGATTTTATTGATATATTTATTTAGGGTTTAAAAAAATCTTTGCCTTTCCAGGTTCAGAGATCTGGTTTCCTGTCACTAATGTACTTTAATGTTCTTTTTACCAACTCTGAAGGCCATTTTGTAGGACACCAGAGTGGGCAGGAGTCTTGCGGGCTGGAGAGTCGAGTCCAGACTGGTTTCTCACTATGCCTGGGGCCTTTCAGCCTTTAATGATCACTTGGACCACCTCTCCTGGTGGTTTATAAGTGTGGACCACAGATGTCCAGGGGAGGGGAGAAGGCAATCAGCCCCTCTGCCTCCAGCCCAGCACCTGAGAGGCCCCCCACTGACCCCAGCTCCCAGACTGGCTTCCTGGGAGCTCACCTGGTACATTAGGACACATGGGGATGGTTCTCCCTTTCACAGGATTCAGGGCCCAGGCAACTGTATACAAGGGGCAATTGCAGAAAAGAGGGTCCAGCATCCGTGTTTTAGGAAGAATCCCCCCGCTGTGGCCATGGCCACATCTGGAGAGCTCAGGAAAGAGGCAAGGCAGAGGCGAATACAGGGCACCCCTCCACTTTTCCAACCCTGTGTCCTTGCTGGTTGAGCTGAAAGATCTAAGGCCAGTTCTTTTTGGCTGAGAGAGTAAAAACGCGCTTCCTGGGAAGCAGGACTTTGAGAAGCAGCAGAAGGTGGCTGACCCTGCCATAAAAGAGCTCTGCCCAGAGCCAGAGACTGGTCTTCAGGGCTTCTGGAGTTCTGAGTCTTACGACACAGGAAAAGCAGGATGCCTGGCAGGCCCAGGGAGAGCAGGAGTCACTTCTGTCCCACGTTTGATGCCAAACTATTCCTTCTTCTAGCAAATCCGTCCCAGGCTGCTACTGGAAACCTCTTACCAAGTCCCTCTGAACGCTTTTTTCACCAAGTCTGCATGTCCTGGGAATGATGCCTTTGGCGAAGTCTTCCCCTCCCTGGGCCTCTCTCCTCTCTGCTTTGCCCACATCAGGGTGGTAGGAAGAGGAAAGGGAAGCTGCTTTTAAAGGAATTTTTTTTAAGTGTCCTAGAGGTAGAAGCCATTTCCTTTCTTTTATTTTCCTTCATTCTCTTTCTTTTTATAACACAGTGTGGGCTCAGTAACATATAAATCTTTTTGTTCAGAAAGAACTATTCCATGAATTCACCACTCTGTTGTTCTGATAGAAATCTCTGGAAGATGGAGTGCTCTCCAGATTGTCAAAACCCTGCAGTGACTGCACCTACTTCGCTAGGCTGTCCTGCCCCAGCAACTTCACAGGAGCAAAGAACCTCAGGATGGTGGTTCTCAGAGCAGATGCCCTCCGCAGACCAGCCCATCAGCGTCACCTGGGAGACTGGCTAGAAATGCACATTCTCAGGCCCCACCAGGCCTATTAAATCAGAGACGCTCAGGTGGGTCCCAGGAATCTGAGTTTTAACAAGCTCACTAGAAGACTGTGATCAGAGTTTGAGAACTACTCTTCTACCTGTGGGAGTACCAAACTATCAGGGGCCGTCTATCCAGGAGCTCTTTACTTGAGTCCATGATGAGACGTCAAGAGAAGTGTGCTCCCCTGAGATTGTACATACAATGTTTCTTCTGAGTGCTTGAGTGCAAGTTTCTAGGGAGGAAATCCACAGCTTTCGCAGAGAAGAAAAGTGACTGGCCAAAGATCACACAGCCACAGAGAGGCACGGCTCAGCCTGGAAGAAGGGTCCCCAGGCTCACATGTCAACAGATGCTCTCCCTCCAGGAGAGCCCATGGTCTACCCTACCTGGTCGCCTTACCTGAGAGATCCAAGGAGCTACTGTCGGTGAACTCAAACTCTCCTGCAAAACACAGAAATGGGTATGAGTCAGAACACTGGCCCATCAGCTTGCCAGAGCTAGCCCCCGTTTACTCTCAGCCTGGAAGGTCAAGGCTGCCCCTGGTCTGGAAGACAGGGGATGGGTGTCCTCCTGGCACCAATGTTATTTACTTTGTATTTCTAGATGTTAATGATGGCCCGTGACTCAGTTCTGCCTCCTGGACCACAGGAAGTACAAATGGAACATTGTCAACAGGATGGAGGGCTTCCAGAGAGGGAGAGGAATGGAAAAGAATGATTGGGCCTTTTTAAAAGAAGGACGAGGAATAGCAACATGCATCCCGGGCTCGGGTTTCTTCTTTGGGACTTGACCCTCCATCTCAACGCCCAAACAGTTTTCACGGAAGGGAACCCAGTATTCTGAAGACATCTTCCTCAGACCTGTCTTCTCTTTCTCTCCTGACTTATTCCCACCTCCACCCTTTTCTTATGCCAAATCCCCAGCTAGCAGTGAACTCCCACTACCCAGCTGACATGCCCCCTCTTCCAGGAAGCCTCTCCAATCTCATTATTCTGCCTGCATGCTGCATTGCGTCTTTTGTCCATTCCAACTTTGTAGCCACTGATGTCAGTACCTGTGTGGGCTCACACCAGTCAGGCCTGCATGTGTGCCCATGCGTGCGCCTCTGCACATGGTTGGGCTTGCTTTCTAACCCCTCCATGGGTCTCATCCTCTCAAACAAGCCCATGAGCACCCTGAGGCCAAGGGCTGTGACTTCCCATCTTCCTGTGTCCCCCCACCTCCATGAAGGCTGAGGGTCAGGGTGCAGAGAGAAGCCTCTCATTCTACCCCCACCCGTTCCCAGCAGTCAGAGCTGGGCTCCCTCTGGATGGACAGATGGACAGATCAGCAGTTTGTCCCCTCCAAGGTTCCTCTTACCGATGGTCTCTGTCTCCCAGACTGAAACAGAGAGAGAGAACACAGAGGTGAGCAAGGGGGCTGGAGGCAGGGTTTGCTCTCACTGGGACCTGCTGGTGATTTCCTCCCTCTCTCCCCACCCCCACTCCCAAATTCTGGACAGCAGCTCTGCTAGGGGCCCAGGGGCACAAGGACCACAAGCTAGGGATGGACTACAAACTGGAGACTTCTACCTCTTCCTTCAGAACAGGACAGTTAAAGAGAAATGAGCAGAGGGATCTGAGAGCAGGAGATCGCTCAGTGCCCCCCATCTCCAATAGCCTACAAAACAAGACTGCAATGACCTCAAGATCCAGCCCTGGGAACACAGGAATAAAATGACAAACGCCATTCTCAACCTTCTAAGTATTTAAGGCAAGTCTCAATAATCCAGCTTTGTGAATAGATTTGCTAAAAGGCCCTGCCTTAATGAACCATTAAGAATGAGGTGTAAATAACACATTCATTGTGCAGTTGCCAGAGTGAAGGATAAGGAAAGTTTGTCTTAAGAAAATCTTATTTTACTGCTGATTCATTTTGCCTTTTTTGTTGGTGAAAAAAAGCAGTCTTCCCATGGTACCTGATCCAGAGTAGACATTCTAAATAAATGAATGACAGAAGGCCATGAATGGAGGAAGTGATTGCATTGGTTTCTATAGGAATGAATTAGAGCTGAGGCTGACTCATGAGGTTGCCCCGTGCCTGACATCCCGCTGTCCACACAGTACCTTCAGCACCACCCTTGTATGCCTCCTCTTTCAAAGTTCACTTTCGGACCTGTGTTGGATCACACCCAGGCCCCAAGCTATCAGGGTGGGAGGGTTTAACTGCCACCCTCCTTCTGGGCTGGCAGGAGGTATGGAGATGGCAGGTGTGCTAACAGGCCCCAGAAGGGGCAGTGTGGACAGGTAAAGTGGGGTGCATTGTAGCCAAACCCTGCCTTCTCTGGTCTTGGGATGGGAACCAGAGACAGGGGCCTGGTACCCCAACATACTGCCACCATCTCCCTCTGCCACCTCCGCAAGCACCCTCCCCTCCAGGGGAAGTCTAGGCAGGTGGAGTTCAGGTGTAAAAGAGAACTTTCCTTTGCCTCTCACAGACAGTATGGAAGGGCAGCGGGCAGGACTCCACAGTGGAGCAGAGCTCGGAAACTTCCCACTTCTAGAAGGACATTAGCCTAAGCCTTGAGTAGGTGAAGGAGGAAGATGAGGGCCAGGTCCATAGCCACACACGACTCAGACCCCTCTAATCCCCTCAGGAGCCCCCACTGCCCATCCTCCTTGAAACCAGGCCCCGACCCAGGGCTCAGCAGTCAGCAGTGTGTAAGTGCAGATGCAGGCAAGTGTCTTATGCGCAGCTGCCCGAGGGCACCTTGTCTCGTGCACATGTCTGTGTGTGCCTCTCTGGGCCTCTCAGCATCTCTGTCTGAATGATAATGACAATAACATCAGCTAACACTACTGACCATTAAAATGGGCCAAGTCTGGGCTACATGATCTCCACATACGTCACTCCACTTGGTTCCCCAGTCACCACACCACATTCCTTTTCACAGACTAGGGAACATGGTTGGGCTCAGAGGGTGGACACAGGAGCAAACAGCCTTGCTCAAGGTCTCCAGCTGGGTAAGTGTTCGAGCCATGTCTGAGCTCACAGCCTTGCTCCACACACAATGAACTTCTCCACATGGACCAGGGAGCCACGTCTGAGGGGTGCTTCTGCATCCCTGCATGCACGGCGGTCTGTGGTTCCACCCTCTCACCAGCATGTGACCTTAGGCAGGGACCACCTGCCTGCACAGAGCCCATGGCCTTGCTGCTTATCTTCCAGGAAGGCCTAGGGCCTGAGAATGGAGAGCAGGCTAGACCTGACAAGGCCTCTGGCACAACTCACCCTGGTCTGGGTTGAAGATTCGGAAGAGTTCAGGGCAGCTGACAAGGACCATCTCACCCACGTGGGCAGGCTTCCAACATGTGATGTTGTCCCACATCCCTGGGCAGCCTGTGTGGAAAAGAACCATGTGAGGGGCATCCAGTACCCCCACACTCACACATACATGCCACACACATGCAGATGTGTGTATGTGTGACACACATGTATGTGAGCACAGGCGGTGGTGAGCCAGGCCCATGCTGGGGAGAGAGCAGTGTAGGGGAGGGAAGGGGAGGCTCACTGCCTGAGGCAGGCTCAGCCCTGTCCCTGTGAGAGATCCCTCAAAAAGAGGAGCTGAGAAGTTTCAGGAGCTCCTGGGGCAGGGAGGGAGCTCTCATCTGAGTTTACCGGAACACACCTATATAGCCCTCCAGGCCTGGCGGGATTGTGGGGAAGGGAGAAGCAGGCCCAACACCAGCTTGGGCAGAATCACTAAGAACAAGACACTGGGGGGGGGGGGTCTCTGTGGCACCCCTACCACCCTGCACTGGCTCCTCAGTGGCCTCCTAGCCTTCACCATCACTGTGGGGTCCAGCTTCAGCTCGACCTCCCCAGGAACTGGCTGGCCTGAGGGTGCTGCTCCAGGGCCCCAGCTGCCTTCCAGGGCAGGCCTGGAGCCAGAGATGGGGTGGAGCTGAGACCTAAGAAAGGGGCACAAATTGGACATATGGGAAGAAAGGAAAGCCAGCCAGGCAGAGGCCCGTATGGCCAAGGCCCAGAATCATGAAATGACTCAGAGTATGGAGAGACAGAGGCAGACAGCTGCCACTGCAGAGGCCACCACAGGGACGCTGGCTGAGATCAAGCAAATGTTGAGGGCTGGGAAGGGAGCAGGGGCACACTGACCAGTACTTAGGAAGCACATGGTGTCCCATCTGATATGAGCTGCTCTGAGCTAGAGAAAGATGGCAGGCATGACGGCCAGCTTCTCGGATTTGGGGGCTCAGTGGACCCTGCTACCCCTCTGCCCATGTACTCTTTCTCCTGCCAGCCCCTGCCAGCCTCTCCCTGGCATTCTCTACACCCCCACCCCCGTCGCTGCCTCCACTGCCCTTCATGCCTCTCACCTGGGCCACCAGCTGCTAACTGGACCATGCCCTGCCTACCCAGACTGAAGGCAGGTGTTGGCAGCTGCCCCATTATGGCTCCCAGCCCCACTCCCCTTGGACAAGATTAGCTGGCTCATGGCCTGAAGGACAGAAGGACACAGACAGCTCCCAGTGCCACCTCCTGTGCTCCCTGAGGACTGCCTCCCACGGCTGGCTGCCCACTGGATAACCCCACCTTGAAAAGCCAAAGACAATCCGAACGCAGTGTGTCCAAGGCTCAGCTCAGCATCTCCTACTAAAACCCGAGTTCCTGTCTCAGCCCCAACTAGACACATGGCGTCCCCTGCTCTGTCTCCTTTTCCTTCACACTCCATGCCCCATCGGCCACCAAGTCCTGCTGGTTTCACCACAAAGTGTTTGTGGAATCCATGCCATCCTCTCCACTCACTTCCCACCTCACCAAAGGCCCACTGCCTTACGCTGGGACCATGGTCACAGCCCCCCAGTGGCCTTCTGCCTCAGCCCCACACAGCTGTGACCATGATCTTTTCTGAAGGAAGCCCTGGCCGGGTCACAGTCCATCACTATCAGGACACCCTCGGGGGACCTATCACCTCCATTCCTTAACTGATCCTGAAGGCCTGGCCCTTACTTTTCACTCCAGCACCTGGGGAACGAGTAAGGCCACCGATGGGTTTGCCCAGGAAAAGGATGTGAAGTGAGAACTGCACGGAGGAGGGAACCCCACAGAACCCTGCATTTGTCATGGGGCAGAGGAAGCACACGCAGCCATGCAACCCCGGCGGAGGGGCTGAGGTGGAGGAGGAGACAGCAGCGTGGAGGGTCCAACAGCAGAGCACAGAGTTTCAGCAGCAGGCCCCACATCCTGCTGAGGGGTCTGTGAAGAAGGGCTGGGAAGGGCTTCTCTGCCAGGTGAGGGACCGCTGGCAGGTGACTGCGAGGGCCCCACCTCACAGGGCTGCTATGAGGATTAGAATTCATGCATGTACAGCTCTCAGAACAACCGGCCCACTCACTGGGTGTTCGCTATTGTTATCACTATTAATTTTCATTATTGCAATTAGGTGTCCCCAAGAATCATTCCCCAGGGAGAGGCCCAGGCAGGGAGGCGAAACAGTACCCTGCAAGGTGAGAAGCTGACAGACCACAGAGGAAACCTGGGCAGGCACCAGGCAAGGGCAGGGCCTGGGGCGGCCTCATGAGCTCACAGCCTCTCAGTCAGGGTCCTTGACTGACTTCTGAGTGCTGTGTGGACCAGAAGGTACCCAGAGCTTCCAGGGGCAGAGAACCCCATCTCTCAGAATTCAGTACAGGTTATTTTGGAATTCACACCCCGTCACATCACCCTATAGTGTCCTGCTTCTGGAATGACTGAGTTTGGGAGCCAGACACAGAAAGTGCTGAGGACAACAAACCAAGACAGCGAGGACACTGGGGTGGGTCCCAGGGGAGCTGGGTCCCAGGTCTCATGCAACAGATCTGTTGTCCATGATTCTGTCTGTCCATTGTGGCCCCACAGGATGTCCAGCCAGCACATGACTGTTATGACATCATGTCCATGAAAGAGACCCAGCAGGAAATCTTTAGCTGCCATGGCCAGTGCTGACCACTGCACAGCCAGGGAGCTTGGCTGTGTATGGCCCATGCCCTGGGAGCCCCAGCCAACAGATGTTCCCTTAATGTGGAACATTAGGCCCTAGCACAGACAGCATGCTGCCAGGAGAAGCTCCTGAGGTCCCCAGGCACTTTACATGGAGGGGGCACAGTCACAAGGGCGGGCGGCAGGGAGGGATGCAGGGCTCGGGTACAATGTCACAAGGGGAGATGGGGCCTCCCAGGCTGGGGGCCAGATGCACAGAGGCAAGGCAGAGAATTCATCCTCTTAACTATTTACTGAACACCTACCATGTGCCTGGGTCCTTCAGGCCCAGGGCTCTAGGGATGCAGAAAATAAACTTGAGAAGTTTGCATTTGAGGGCAGAGAGAGGAGAGGGACAGGCAGCCGCAAGACTTGAGTTTGGTGGACTTCTGCCAAGGCTGGCGGCAAAACACTGATAAGCCTCTCCTCTTTCTGCCAGGACTCAATTTCCCTGTATATACAGTAAAGATGGGTGTGTCTGAGGGTGCTCCCAACTCAGAGTGACCAGAGCGCAAACCTGGAACAGAGATTCACTCAGACCTGCTGGTGCCCAGAACTGAATTAAATTGTAGGTACATCAGCTAAGGTCCCCATCTCAAGATCTTTACCTGAATTACACCTGCCAAGTAAGGGAACACATTCACAGGTTTTAGGGATTAGGATGTGGACACCTTTGGTGGGAGGCAGTATTCTGCCTCCCACAGATGGGTTTTGAGACAAAGAGTCACATGATTTGATTCAGGTATGTGGGAAGGTAAGACATTTCAAGAGCATAAAAGCAGTTGTGGGGGGGACATGTCTGTTAAGACACAGCAGCAGTCCATGGCAGGGTGAGGGGCTCGATTTGGAGCCATGGCAGGCAACATGGAAAGCAGTTCTGGGTAGGAGAGTCTGGAGGCACCAGGGCTTGGTGACACACCAGCTGGGTACAGCTGGCATGTATGCTAGGTTATCAGTGCCCATCCACCTCACATGACTGCATTCTCACCAATGGTAAGTGGCTGGAAGTGAGGAACTGGTCTTAAAAACATTCCTCATAGGCTCCACACCCTTTCTCTCTCTCCCCTCTCTACAGTGTCCCTGGGGGTCACATGTGGTTGGTGGCAGTGATCCAAGATGTAAGGAGCCTGGTCTCTGAATGACAGTACAGAGTGGAGTTCCACCTTCCGCCTCTGCTGACCACACTGACCTGTGACACATGCAGGCAGTAAATGGTGCTGTGCCAAGTCCCTGAGATTGTAAGGCTTGTTTGTCACTGCAGGATGGTGCAGGCTGCCTGACGAATGCAGCCAAGGGGAGAGGGGTTACCAAGGACAGCACCTGGCTTTCTGGCATGCGTGCTTGGAGAGGTGGATGAGCCATTTGCCACAGTGCGAGGACTGGATGAGAAGCAAATGGAGGGAATCAGGCAAGCTGGAACTCCAGGGTTTAGTTTGGAGTAGGTTCAGTTTGAGATGGTAGCAAGTGCCAAGTGGAGCTGGATTGCAAGAAGGCAGTTAGGTAGGAGTCTGGAGTCCTTGGGGGGAGTCAGAATGGGGGGTGGTCCACATGGATGCTAGGTGGGGCCATGGACTTAGATGCCATGTCTAGTGAGAAAGCAGAGGTTTCAGAAGAAAAGAAATGAGACAAAAGCCTGGCCCCAGCAGAAGAAAGCCTGGCCACATTCAGGCAGGGAGCTGGCCAAGAGGAGGGGTGGCCAGGAACACAGAAAAACCAGGAGAGGTTAGGGACACAAAGGCCAGGAAAGTGTGCCTCCAGGAGATGGTCACGTGCACCAAACACTGTGGAGAGTCTCAAAAAACAGAACCGGTCCTATTCCCTGGCAGAACTCTCCACTGTGACAGCCCCAAGCCTCCCTTATTCACCTCTCCCCATGCACCCCAGAGCTACACTAAGCTCAGTGTGTGCCCCTGAAAGCCTCCAGGACCTTGATCAGAGGCTTGGGGGGCAGAGGGTGGTGCGGAGGGGCCTTACTGCTCGGTGGGAGAATGCTGCGCACACACACCGGGGCTGCTCCGCTAAGACACTGTACTGGAAGTGGTCAAGGGCCGCAGTGCCTCGTCACAGCAGGGGGGAAAAAGTCCACTTGCAGGTTGAATGGAGAAAGAACACAAGAGCCATATGCCTCGGCCAGAACAAAACAAGGAGCTCCTCTCAGGTTGTCATGGTGATGATTTTGTCCAGTTTCACACAGTGTTCAAAGCCCACAAGACATGGGGCACCAGAGGAACTCAGACAAAGACACAGTCGTGCCTTTGAGAAGCGCCTGCGGCTGCTAGGGACATTATTAGAACAAGCCACTCATTTTAGCATACAATTCAAGGGTGAAAAAATGATTCCATTTACAGAAATTGACAGCC